TGGGTTCACTCAACCAACTGGCGCTGCGCAACTGCCTGAATTTCCCTGAGTTGTGTAGTGGCCAGAAAAGGGCCCTGAGGGCCTTGTCGAGCCTGCCTTCACTTAGGGCGCCCGACGGGCTGCAAAAAGGGGGCCTTATGGGGCTCATAGAGGCAATGGCCTCGCATTCCCTCCTGCTCAGCCTTAACAGTCCTCTGAGAAGCTCAATCTTTGATCATAGGGCGCTTCCCCTTCTGCAGAGATCTGTCGTATTGGGCTACAACTTGAGGAGCGGTCTGCATGAGCTCTTCCCTGGTGAACCATCGGTCCTCCAACGGATCAGTGTGATGCCGAAAACGAATGCGGTACTGCAACTTCGGTTTTGGAGGACGTCCCCGGCCTGCTGGTCTTGATACCGACAGCTCTCTGTGATCCACAATATCATCGATGTCCACCTCTCCGTCCATGGTTGGGGGCAGCATTGAGCGACGAGATGGAAACTGATCAGTCTCTTTGAAAGGTGCCAGTTTGGAGGCGTGGAAGACAGGGTAAGTACGAAGATGACCAGGTATCCGGATAACATAGGATGGCCCATCCGGATCTGTCCCAACGATATCCAAGACTTCCCAGGGTCCAAAGTACTGGGGCATGAGTTTGCGGGAGATCCCGTGCTCCTGTCTGAGTTCTGACGCCTTAACCCAGACCCTATCCCCAACCTGAAATGTAGAAGGCCGGCGGTGTCTATTTTCAGACTCTATCATTGCAGCCTGTGCCAACATTCTAATCACGTACTCCGTCTTTGCTATTCCCGGCATGGCTATTAACCTAGCATACTTACTAAATCTATCCACGATGACAAAGATATGACGCATCCCACTCTTGCTGGTGATTAGAGTATCCATGAAATCCATGGAAAGACTCTCACCAGGCCATTCCGGAATCGGAGCGGGCTTCAGAAGCCCACGAGGAGCCTGAGTACGTGGCTTGTCCCGTTGACAGACTTGACAAGTCTCACGTACCGCTGGGCATCCCGCATCATTGTGGGCCACCAGAACCGCTGCAGCAGGTTGGCTGCGGTCTTTTTATACCCAAAATGGCCGGTGGCATCGTGACACTCGCCTAAAAACAAACTACGCAAAGACTCGCTACTCGGGACACACAATCGTTTATTCCCGTCCTTCTCAAGGAACAGCAAGCCATTGCCCAACTCAAACTCAGCAGAGGTTTTCTTATTCTTTGCCTGGAGTCTGCGTATGATCTCAGACATGAACTGATCCTCGCGATAGGCATCCACCAAAGAGCGAGTAACATCGTCCGTGAGATCGAACTAAGTAATCAGTGCACCTGAAAAGTCAGGTCTACGCGACAAGGCATCAGCCACCTTATTGTACTCCCCTTTGACATACTGGGGTCGAAGTCATATTGCTCAATGACTTCGATCCAACTCTTCAGAACGTCAGATAGTACGGGCTGAGTTCTCATCCATCTCAGGGTCTGATGATCAGTCCTGAGGATGAAGAATCTCCCAAGGAGATAGTGTCTCCAATGGGTCAGAGCCTTGTACACTGCGTAGAGTTCCTTCTCGTAGGTGGACTTTGCCAACTTCTGAGACGGCATCTTTTTCGACATGTACTCGACTGGCCTCAACTTTGGCCCCTCCTGCTGCGCGAGCACGGCGCCAATGCCATATTGGCTGGCATCCGTGGTGACTATAAACGGCTTGTCAGGATCAGGAAGTTTCAAGACCTCGTAGTGCGTCAACGCATGCTTCAGATGTCTGAAAGCAACCTCGCACTCATCTGTCCACTCCCACGGGGTGTCAAGGCCGGTTAGATCAGTGAAAGGAGCGGCCACTATGCTATAGTTCTTTACAAAAGTTCTGTAGTAGCCTGTCATTCCTAAGAAAGATCTCATCTTAGTCACAGACTGAGGACGTGGCCAATCACGAATGCTAGCCACCTTCGCGTCATCGGGGTTCAACCCTTCCGCGGAGATCTCATGACCCAAGTACAAGACACGGGTGTGGCCAAACTCGCACTTCTCACCGTTGATCTTGAACTTGTGCTGTCGCAGGAGACCGAGGACTTTGTCCAGATGTGCAACATGTTCCTCGACAGTCTTACTAAAAATAAGTATGTCATCGAGGTACACGGTGACAAACTTGTCTAAGTAGTCATGGAATATCCGATCCATAGCGTGCTGAAAGGTGCCAGGAGCATTGCAAAGGCCAAAAGGCATCACCACAAACTCGTACAGACCGTACCTGGTCTGAAAGGTGGTTTTGTGTTGGTCCTCGGGCCGGATTGCAATCTGATGGTACCCGGACTTCAGATCTATCTTACTGAAGTACCAACACCCTTGCACTCTATCTAGCAGATCGTCGATGCGCGGTAGGGGCTCTCTATTCTTTACAGTGATGGCATTGAGGCCCCTATAGTCAATGCACATCCTAAGAGTACCCTCCTTCTTCTTAGGTACGAATAGAACTGGAGACCCATAAGGAGAGACACTCGGTCGGATCCAACCCTTCTCTACGAGTTCCTTGAGTTGGAGGCGAAGCTCATCAAGCTCGCCTACAGACATCCGATAGATCCTACCCTTCGGAATACTAGACCTTGGGATAATCTCTATCGCGTGGATGACCTCCCTCTCAACAACCCCTGTCGGCTCTTCAAATAGATCAGGGTACCTAGCAACTACTCCCTCTATCTCCGACGGCATTTTCACCGGCTCGCCTACAGCAGAGACATAAACTAAGTACATACCCTCCTCCTGATTTTGCTTATAATAATTATAGAACGCGGCCGCACACATGCACCTGTAGGACTCAATCAGACTACTAACTTTGATCTTGTGTAGTCTGGCCACCTGGCAAAGTGTGTTCGACCACTTTTCGGTCCCAGTCAAACTGGGGTTGTGCCACAGAGAGGTAGTACATACCTAACAACATATCCATGGGGAGCTCATCACTTACTGGGAACGAGACACGATGTCTCAAGTCCCCTCCCGCGTACGGGAAACAACACTCTACATCTTGGAGGTAGTCGTTATCTACCATTGGTTGTTTATTGGCATAGGTCGACTCCACAGGTCGACTCAAGCGCTGTACTCGCCCCTGTAAGCGCAGTCTCTCAACGCACGCGCGACTAATAAAGTTCCGCGTCGAGCAAGTGTCATAATAGGCCCCAGCCTTGCGGCCGCAGATGACAACCTTGCTGACGAACATCTCACCCTTAGGGGCTTTGCCTAAGGCCGTCCAAAAAGATAGCGGGTGTGATCTAGATGACTCCACCTCTAACTCCTCTAAGGACTCGAACACATTCATCGAACAGAGGCTCGATGGGTCTGAATGTGTTTGCGGGACGACACTGGAGTCAGTAGCTTGGGCCATCTCTCGAGATGGTGAGGGTGTCTCCACCACCTCGACCCTAGCAGGAACAACTACAATTCCTACAGGCCCGACATGTTTCCCGGAGCACTGCCTGAAGTACTGGCAACGTTGCTACCGACGGGATGAGAGGATCCCAACACTTGCCCCATCGTAGGCGGGATCTTTTCCGTCACTTTCTTGTTGCGGCACTTGAATTGGTTGTGGCCATATTGACCACAACGAATACAGGCCTGCCGTGAGTAACGGTCTCTCCACACGTCCTCTGTAAGACCCGCTTTCTCCCATGGAGGAGCATTGGGGTCAACTTGACTTCTAGACCGGGAGCCTCCGCGGCGTCTACCGGTCGCCTTACCTTTTTGAGATACGGCAACGACTACTCCACCCTCTGAAGCATCTATGCTGCCTGCCTCTGAACCTACTCCCTCTTGGAAGTTGTTGTCCACCTCGATGGTTGAACCATCGTTGTCGACAAAGATCAAGCGACCTTTCGCCTTCCAGTTAGGAGGCAGTGTCTTCTTCCTCCCGTCCGTACTGGGTGCCTGTCCATGCCCTATCCTTGCTTCTAGGTCTAGGGCCACCTTGCGAAACGAAGGGAAGTTGTGCATATTGATGTTGGCCTCTTTTGCCAACTGGTTCCTGAGAGGCTGAGAAAAGCATCTCAAGTACGAAGTCAACAGGACCTGGGGGTCATAGCGCACCCCTGGGACACAAATCAGACGCTCAACGACGTCGGTGGCTTCCCTTACTGACTTGAACTGCCTCGTGTGCAGTGTCGGGATCGACATCAGTGGCCCTTTGGGCCTCCTGAGGATCGTGCCACCTCTCCTCCACCATCTTCAGGAAGTCATCCAATTTCTGGGTGGCTGCCCAAGCGCGGAAGTCATGACCATATCCCTGGAGCTGCACTAGACCGCTCAACAATCTTGTTGCACTACCCTCCAGGTAGGAAGCAACCACAAACACTTCTTCGTGCGGCAAAGTCAGTTTACACCTGACGTAGACCGGCACTGCTCTCAACCATGTGTCGAGGTCTTCGCCTCTCTTGTCCCCTGTAAAAGTCTTGGGAGCGGCGATGGCCGTCTTCGGAACCCACTGAGTTTGTCCCGGTCCCTGCATCACTCTGGGCTGTGGACACGGTGACACAGGTTGCTGTGCTAGCTGCTGGGGCTGCGTGCCCTGAGGCTGCACAAGCTGCGAGACAGCAGGCTGTGTGGTGACAGCAACCTGCGACGGACTTGGAGTAAACACTGTCTGTACAGGAACCTGTAAACTACTCCTTGTTGTTACCCCTCCTGACAGCGGCATGCCTAGGGAAACGATAACAACCATTGACGGGGCTACATATGGGGATACCCCTGTCACCGGTGGGACAAAAAACGGAGGATACGGCACGGGCCGGGCACCAGGCCTGGCTGGTGATGGTGCTGCCTGAGCACGACCTGCCAAAATGGCGAGGCTCTGTTGAATGTCCTGAAGGATGGTAGTTTGATGCTCCTGCATCTCTAGAACGCCTAGTAGGCCCTCCTAACTACCCTCACATCATCATCCATATTGGTCAGGTCCATTGTCTTTAACTCCTCTATGTCTGCCCCTCTTCGCTGAATCCTGGCTCTTCTTCTAATCATCTTTTCCTTCTCCGCTTTTATCTCTCCTAGTGCCCGCTGTAGCTGTGCCTCCTGCAGAGCTGCCTGCTGGATGGCGACATCCTCTGGAGTTAACACCGCGGCCTGGCTTGCCATAATGCCAGTGGACTGACTCACGGTCTGCACGACCGTTGACCCGACAACACCTGAACTACTGGCTTGGGAAATCTGCTGCGCAGAAGTGGACATGGCTGTAGTAGCCATGACTGATGTAGCACCGGCCTCGCTAATTAAAGTCCTGCTGGCCTCGTTTGCTCTAGCCCTCCTCTGCTGCTGTTGTCTCTCCCTCTGCTGGCGGAACAGATGTCTGTCACCCTCGGGTCCTAGGGACACGTGGGCTATCGGGCCTCCACCTGATCGCAAGGTCCTGTGGTCGTCCTCTCCGGTGTTCTCCTCGTCGCTCATAGGCTACAGCGCTGTGCACTGTCTACACTAGATCATTCAAGATGCCTACCACAGCATAGTGCACGGACCAACTAATTAATTGGTGGGTATTTCGGAACAGATATCACTTGAGGTCAACAGGTAAGTCAGATTCCTACAACTGAAACTATTTTTAGTATGACTAGTCCGCAAACAGCAGCACCAGGAACAATCAACAGTTCTAACTAATGTTGTCTGTCAGATGTCAATGGCAGTCGTCTAACTAATCAAACATACAAATAAAATCAGTTGTGTGGATAAAACAGCATGGCATTTTCTCGAACTTATCACCCGGAATCAACCCCTCCCTTAGTTCCCCTAAGTATCTCTTGACGTCAGCGTCCCTGAGCAATCTGGAGGCGTAGCGTGTCTAAAGGTGTGTGTCCGGCCCACCCCTATGCCCCGAGTATCCACTGAGCCGGCCAACCTTGCACGTATGTTTATCCTCGGCGTGCCGCGAGCCTTCCAACCATTGACTGATTTAGAGGCAATTTAAAGTCCGCCCCCAAGTGACTCCAGGAATTATTTTACGTCGCAACCGAACGACGATCACAATCAATGGTTCCCCTTCCCTTGTTTATTTATAGACGCCGGATGCTCATCTTTCCTGTAGGGCTGGCCTGCCCAGTAGTACCCATCTAACAGCGCAGCAAGCCGAACAAAGGACAAGCAGCTTAGGCATGCGTGCTCTACTCCCTGTGGGTTGGCTTGGTGACCGTGACCCAGTTCTTTGTCCAGGGCCCTTCAGAAAGCTCCGCCCATCTCCACCCAGATGGTCCACGTGAACATTGCCGACTCTCAAGGTTGAGCGCACACGACACCTCACAATGAGAGGACGCTCAAGAAGGAACACACAACCTCACGGTAAGAAGTGTCGGAGAGGGAAGATAAGGTTAAGAGCAATGTACCTCATTAAGCTGCCCCCAACCACAAAGATAATCTCACCAGATGACCAAATGGCGATTGCGATGACCAGTCACTGCATTAGCACAACCAGCATTATCCACCGTTCCACCTCAGCATCAATCGCACATTGGATATTTCTCATCACACTGTCCAGACCACATTCACCTCACATAGCCTTCCTGGCGATTTCCCTCGCCTCCTGGGTCGCCTTACACTCGTCTCCACCCTCCTCACTACACACCACTTACGGCCAAACTCGCCCAGTAGAGCGCATGTATGTACCGCATAAGGCAGAAGACAAGCGCCAGATGAGCGCAATCGTACCACAGCTCCGATACCAAATTGCAAGGAAGATGAGCAATAGCGAACTCCAGCAATCAAACAGCATGATACATATGAGTCCGGATAGTCTTGACCTCGAACCAACAGCAGAATTGCATCACGAGATGCACCAAATAAGAACACACCAAGAGTTCATAATTGACAATGCTGAAATAGTCCCATCATCATCAACGAAGAACCAGAGGTGATATCCTATCTGGCGCTCGGCGCCCAGACTACATGTGGCAGATCCTATCTAGCCTATACTACGAAGCCGAAAGATGACATCAACAGCATTCCCGAAGTACGAGCATA